TGAGTAGACGTGTATAGGAATGTGTTGTTCCATTGGATTCTGTATGATTGGTGCCATATTTAACTCTGGTTATGGTTCCTTCAACTGAAGTATTAGTAGGTACTTACAATCTGTGATGTGGGTGCACGCCATAGTGGTAGCTTCCACTGCATGTGTAGACACCAGTGGCCCAGTTTAAACATGATGCCTACCGTGTGCAACTCCACAAGACTGGAGGGCTGTAGCTCAATGGCAGAAGAAATGGTTTGCACACACGAGGTCACAGATTCAATCACTGACGTCTCCAGCTAGGACTGGAAAAGACTCCTGTCCGAAAGTCTGATGGGACACCTGCCAATCAGTGTAGGCAACACTGAGCTAGATGAACCAATTGCCTGACTCAATATAAAGCAACTTCCTATGTGTGTTTATTTTGTTCCATACACCTCACATTACACGTGTCTGTTTTGGTTCTTTTCTTTTCTTTTTACAAAGTAAAAGGTAAAGGTAAAGGTACCCCTGCCCGTACGGGCCAGTCTTGACAGACTCTACGGTTGTGCGCCCATCTCACTCAAGAGGCCGGGGGCCAGCGCTGTCCGGAGACACTTCCGGGTCACGTGACCAGCGTGACATCGCTGCTCTGGCGAGCCAGAGCCGCACACGGAAACGCCGTTTACCTTCCCGCTAGTAAGCGGTCCCTATTTATCTACTTGCACCCGGGAGTGCTTTTGAACTGCTAGGTTGGCAGGTGCTGGGACCGAACAACGGGAGCACACCCCGCCGCGGGGATTCGAACCACCGACCTTTTGATCGGCAAGCCCTAGGCGCCGAGGCTTTTACCCACAGCGCCACTCGCGTCCCTTTTACAAAGTAATAATCTTAAATATATAAGAATTAAAATGTGCACCCCACCACCGAGACCATTCCATTGTAAGTATCCAACCTCCCAAAATTTCAACACCTCTTACAATGGTTTGACCCCTTTCCATTTATTGACAGTTGCACAAATTATTATAGCTAGGAAGTGGAAGGGGCAAGCAGAATATAAAATCGAAGAATGGTATAAAAAGGTGTGGGATATAGCTATTAAGGATAAATTAACATGTGCCATTAAAGTAAGACAGGGAATTTGCAGGAGAATGATTTTGAGGAGATATGGAGGGTGTTTGTAGAATTTGTACTGTTAAAATTTGTGAACCATTTGCTTCTTGCCATTGCTCATGACAGTATGATGCTTGGGAAAATTCATTTTCCAATGAGAGGGATGGTTAAACGGTGCACAGTTTAGCCTAGAATAGGAATAAATGGCCACAGCAGAAAAGCATTTCAAAATTGCATTAGAGAGCTTTTGTGTGTGTGCTACATTAGATGACCAAATTCCCATTTCCTTGCGTGTGTCTTTCTGGAAGTGATTTACTGTGAACTATCGTTAAATGAAATCATTGCAAATGAAATTGCTAATACATATCCTAGAAAATGTTATTCCTAGCAAGTGGTTTCTTTTTCCTGTAAATGAGGCAGGTGTTTGATGTAGTTTGTGGCTTTACAAACAGCTATAATTACTGGTGGGGTCTTGAACTTGCATCATCTACAAATGTGGATGAAGGGACTCCTGTTTCTCACGCAGGCTGTATTCTTCAAAGCACTTGCTCCAAAATAGTTCTGGAGTAGCCCCACTTGTTACAGCTAAGATAGGTACACAGGAAACTGGCTTATTAATGGAAAAGTCCATATAGTCCAGAATTGTCTTACTAGCACCATGTCCCCAGCAAGGGCCTTCAAGTGCTTCCCCCGGGCTAGAATGTGCCTTAACTCTGACAAAGCCTCTTCCTTGCCTGGATAAACATAGCTGGAATGCCACCTACTGTACAAACCTAAGGGTCATCTATTGGTCTCTGCCCAATTTTTGTCCCTTGTTCTGCCCACTTTTGCTTTTGACCCCACCCACCACTGGCATGTGGCCCCCAGAAGGTTACCCATGAGGGAACATGGCCCTCAGACCAAAAAGCTTACCCACCCCTGATTTCCAGTATCTCAAGGAAGCTTGAGCTCTGTAGTGCTCTTTGAGAATGATGTTCCTGCAAATTTGCTCCATCCCTGACAGTGGCATAGCTAGCTGCTTGAGCACGTGGGGCTGTGCGTGTGCCTGGTGGGCGGGGTGAACCGTCCATGGGGTGGGGTGAGCCGTCCACAGGGTGGGGCAATCTGGGGCAGGGTGTGCTGTGCAGAGCTGGGGCTTGCATGGAGTCTGCTCTGCCCGCTGCCTGTGGGAATGTTCAGAGAGGCAGGAGAGGATATATTGTTTATTAATATCCTTCCTAACTTGCGCTATCAAGTTCCTTTACTTAGCTGAGTTTCACATTCCCCTATTAAACGCACAGCGGGTAGCTGGTTGTAGGCTTGTGTTAAGCCTCTCACTATTAGGTTCCTGGTAAGTTCCCTTACAGTATATCCATCTTAAAAGAATAAACATGCCACAATCTTGTGTAAAGTACAGTGGTACCTCGGGTTACATACACTTCAGGTTACAGACTCTGCTAACCCAGAAATAGTACCTCGGGTTAAGAACTTTGCTTCAGGATGAGAACAGAAATCGTGCTCTGGTGGTGCGGCAGCAGTAGCTAAGCACCCATTAGCTAAAGTGGTGCTTCAGATTAAGAACAGTTTCAGGTTAAGAATGGACCTTCGGAACGAATTAAGTACTTAACCCGAGGTACCACTGTATATAAAAGTAGTTTACTCACATTCTGTTCTCAGTTGGATCCCAGAAGGCAGATTTCGTTACAAAGCATATGCATGTGGAGCTATCCCATACAGTGGTACCTCTAGTTACAGACTTGATCTGTTCCGGGGTGCCATTTGTACCCCGAAAAGTCCGTAACAAGAGAGCCAGCCTCTGTGCATGCACATGACGCAACAGAGCGCTTCTGTGCATGTGTGAAGAACGCATAACGCATCTGTGCGCACACATGCAGCGAAACCTGTAAGTATATACTTCCGGGATTTGCCGCGTTCGCAAGCCGAAAAGACGCAACATGAACCTAATGCAACACGAGGTATGACTGTATGGGGATAATCCCAGTGTCCTCTGTTGGCAGAGCATCTCTAGCTAAATGCTGCTCCAACGACGGAGGAAGTCAAAGAGAGAGAGAGAGAGAGAGAGAGCTGCGTGCCTTGTCCTTTTTGTTACCTGGACAGGTAAGGTAATGTCCACCTCTAGGCACATGCAAAGGAAGAATGTCCCAGCCAGGAGGAAACAGGAAGCTTTCGACTGCCTGGACCAAACATTCCCCCGCATGTCCACTCTAGGAAAACAAGGAATGTTGTACTTGACTGCTACTTATGTATCACATCCCACACTGCCTCCCCCTCAGTTGCAGGCACTGTGCCGCCCGAAAATGCGGTGTGGGGTTCACGTCTGCCCGCTGTCTCCCCCTCAGCTGCAGGGCGCTGCAGGCACCACGGTAAATTGCCATCCAGTGTACCCCTCCCCCCAAGCTACACTAGTGATCCCTGGTCTGAAGGAGACTGCCTTGGAATTCCTTAATGGGCGGGGGCATGAAGGTCACATGGGTCATCCATTGTGGGGGAGCGGATCTGGCCAAATTAGGACTGCTCCAAGTCCTACTTGTTCCATTTCTTCTTCAGTGGTATGGTGGCCACAAGTATCGCAGGAGCAGAGCACTCCATGTTTTTAATTTTTATCTGACAAGTATAACTTTAATGTAAGAGTGAAGTTCTGAAAGGAATCCAGGTCCAGATCTGTGTGTCTCCCCCGCCACGTTCTTGAAAATTGTTCTATATGATGAAAACACTTTTAACATGGAGATGTTTCCCCCCTGCCTTAACCTCTGTGACGCAAGTACTTACGGTACGTAGTCAACTCTTCTCAAGATATTCTAAGCTTTGAGATAATTATTGTTGGCAGATATGGATATTCCAGGGAAAAGTGTGACAACAATACTGCGAATAGTATGTGTATGTTTTTCCTTCGTTCCTTTTCCTCCTCTGTTTTAGTAAAGTGAGTAATTAGACTTGTGGTCTCAAGCCAGCAGATAAAAGTCCCCAACTGAATGCAGGGGCATTACAGTCTATTCGCCAGATGCAAATTGAACATGGGGTGGTCGGGTAGGCTGATGATTAAGTTTGAACTGGATTTTTTTTTAATGCACCATCTTTCACTCATCTTGATTAGAGTTTCACAGTAAGAAATGGGCACAATTGAAGCTTAGAGGTGGCTGGAAATTTTAAAATGCAATGCCCAGTTTTTTGCCATGCATGCAAAAATGATGAAATGTTGTAAAATCAATGCCAGGGATAGGGAAATCCAGCCATCCAGATGTTTCTGAATTCCTAACACCCATCTTCCCAGAAGAGAGTCACAGGTTCTGCAGTCTGCTATATGTTCTATCTAGCAATATTACCTATAAAAACTCTATCATATGGTAAATCTCCCCCCAAAACACAGCACGCTTAGGTCATAATTATGTTACGATTATGTTATGATTCCTTTCAGCACTGGAAAATTAATGTATAGGATGAGAAGTACACTACAACCAACCTTAATGTTACAGGCTGTAAATATCTGTAGAATTACACAGTTACATAGCAGATCTGAGCACAGTTTGCATGACCTCATAAATCGCAGAATAGTTTAAATAAAGAATGTCCTGAAACAATGAAGGGTTAGTTTGGGAAAAGAGAATGGAATGAGAAATCCTTCACAGAACACTACCAACCCTTTCAGTATATACATTTCTCAGACAGATAAGACGATTAATACCATAGGAATGTTGTGAGTACCTTACAGTTAAGTCAACCCTGCATGGAATATGGTACTTTAAATATTTTCCACAATATTTACAGGTGGTGTTCCTAAAGCAACTCGAATGTGCACTAGAAAAAATTGGAATACCTACTCTTGAACCTCCTAATATATTGAATTGCAATGTGACCCTACTTGGCCTCTCTGAAAAGGCCAATATGAAAATCTCGTATTGATTGGAAGTACTGAGTGGCCATGGGTACTAATTTAAAAAGGACTGCCATCGTCTATTTGAAGGGATATCCAGTCCAAGTCTGGGGTAAGATAAAGACACAAAAATGTTCTCTGTTAATGGACTGTTCAAAGTTTGAAACAGGCTTTAGCACATATTGGATGAAATCATTTTAACCTGCTATACTTAAAAATTCCCATTACTGACGCTGCACTGCCATCTAGTGAATATTAAATAAGCAAGCTGTTTAAAAGCTAGGCTTCTCATTTTTGCTGAATTTTCTGCCAAATAATTGGGAGAAAAAAACGAGGAATAAAATTGCACAGGACTTTGTACATTTAAAAAAAAATTGGGCTGCCATTGTGCCATTGCTCAAACTCAACCAATGTGTTTTTATATACATAAAAAAATGTCTGGAAGTATTCTTAGAACTATGATATGATACATGGGATGAATGTGGGAAATGTTTGGAATGACTGATGTTGAATAATAATTACAAATTTTTAAAAGGCACTTATTTCATGAAAAACATGCATTTATTTTACATAGGAAGTAATATGACTTAACTAAAATGTAACAACTGGTCTTCAATCTACGATCTCATATTTTTTTCCTTGCAAGAACCCTGTGAAGTAAGTTAGGCTGAGAGAGAAACTGTCCCAAGCTCACTGTGAATTTCATGGTGGAAAGATGATTTGAACTGTGGTCTCCCAGTTGCCCATCTGACACTAAGCCTCTACATCATACTGGTTCTCTGACTGTCATTCAGTTGTGTGAATGGCCTAGGCTCTAGCTTAGGGTCACCAACATTTTTAGACTAGTGGACACATCTCAAATTTTGAGGGAGTGCTGGGGGAACCAACTGCAGAATGGATGCCATGGAATCAGCATGATATAACACAAAATTAGAGAGACAAGCATCCTCTGATAACCTTCTGGAATATGATCATAAATACACTTTTGAAATCATGTCATGTTTGTTAGAATGGGAATTTGTGATTATGAAGAAATATGTAATGTTGATCTTTTTAATTGAAGTGCATTCAAAACTTACATTCACAACTTAATTATTTTTATAGTGACAATCAGTGCAAATGAAGCCCATAAAATCTCTGCTTCTTCCCTGGCAACTTTATTTGCTGCTTTTGCAGAGCTTGCTAGTTTATTAGTACCAAATGTCTTATTTCTAGGACTTGCATACAGGTGTGACTATGAATAGCAGTGACCATGCTGAGTTGGTAGGTTGAAGGGTGTGTGGTCAATTTGAGCAAATATTGACACATTGGTGCAATCTCTTTCTTTTCACAATCTGTTTCTTTCGTGTTTCATTGTAGCAACTGAAGGATTATCAATTTTCTGTTACTAATAATGGATAACTAGTGAGTAACTAGTGTTCCTTGTTCAACAAAAGACCTAAGTTCAAGAAGCATAATTAATATTATCTGTGCAGTGTAAAGCCTCATGAACTTTGATATTCCATGCAATGCGAACTTTAGACTGTTTCTTCTTGATGGCCAGGAGCACATATACATCAAGAAAGGCACTCAGGCTATCAGGAATAACATGGAGAATGTAGGCCTTGATCTCCCAAGATCCCTTTCAGCTCTGATTCCATGAGTGTGTGTGTGTGGATATAGGTCCAGCTCTGAGGGTCTTCTGGTGGTTGCCTTACTGTGAGAAGTGAGGTTACAGGGAACCAGGCAGAGGGCCTTCTCGGTAGTGGCGCCTGCCCTGTGGAACGCCCTCCCATCAGATGTCAAGGAAATAAACAACTACAGTACCTGGCTTTTAGAAGACATCTGGAGGCAATCCTGTATTGGGAATTTTTTAATGTTGAATGCTTTACAAACCCAGCCAGATGGGTGGCATATAAATATAATAATAACAACACTTTGCTTAACTGGTTAGGTGAATAGGGCATGTGAAGGCCAGTCCTCTGAGGTATCTGTGAGTGATTAGACAAGCCCTAGACTGCAGCAGACTGGCTTTCAGGATGGTAGATGAGGAAGTACGTAGATAGATATTGGGGCTTGATAGGGTGGGGGGTGAGTGACCCTCTCTTTGCTTTCCATTGGTTCTATGTTCACAGCTTAGCACGGTAAAGCACATATGCAATCCTCTATTGTATACTGCTCAGAAGCCCTATTGGGTCCAGTCCTTTACTCTCCTGAGAGCGCACCCCATTGAGATCAATGAACATCGGGGCAGGCACTGCGGAGCAGCCTCAGCCACTGAACACGGCTTGGCCTGGAAGAAGGAGGACCCGTGAATGACGTTTTTGCAAAGACGCTCCTCTGCCCAGAAGAGACGCCAACTGCACGCAACTGACTGCCAGAAACGAACAAGGGAGGCTGGAATCAGGCCCATTCATTCCCGCGCATGCGCGTTAACTGGACTCGCGTTGCCTTTTTATTTTTTTTAAGGTCAAGAAAAATCTGGGTCGCTCTACGTCGCTGTCCTGTACGTCAGCACGCGTGCGTGCCCCACACCTTCATTTTGCGCCTGCGCGGTACCGGTTTCCTCTGACGAAGCTCTTCGGTACAGCAGTCTCCGCCGTCAGGTTATGGGCGGAGTGCGCATGCGTGGCGGCCCGGCAGCAGCAGCAGCAGCAGCGGCAGCAGCAACCGCCTTGGCCGAGTCTCTTTGCCACGTACGGCAGCGGCGGCAGCAGTGAGTGAGGAGGCGGGGAGCGGGTGGGGGTACAGGGTCGTGGGGCTGGCGGGCTGGCTGGCGCCGCGGCCTCCATTTCGTGGAAGAAACGGAGCGAGTCGGGTGGGGGAGCCGCTGCCCCGGTTTGAATGGGAGAGGCCGAGCCGCTGCCCACCGGGGAAGGAGCGGGTAGCCGACCGGGGGGGGCCCTTAGGGCGCCTGGATGAGGCCTAGGCCGCGCCCTTCCCCGTCCACTCGAGACAGGGGAAGGCCACGCACTGGCTCAGCTGTTGCCACATCAACCTCAACCCCCCGCCCATCGGTCTTGAGCCCTGGTTCTTGCTCTCTCCTCCTTCCCCACATAATTCGATTTTCTAGTTTGGAGGCGCTGCGTTAGCCTACTGCAGCAAACAGCAGTGCCAAAGCAGTGTAGATTTAATTGTGTTGTAACGAGGTTTTCCTGGGCCAAAAAACAACAACAACCCCCCCCCCCCAAAAAAAACACCCTTGGAAAAGATGCACTTCCCATTTCTGAGGAAAAAGTTCCTTCGCTGCCTCCCCCCCCCCCCCCGCTTTCTCTTTCTCCTTCCCTCTCCACCCCACCAGGGCTGGAGAGCCTAAAATGGGAAGAGGTCATTTGGGGTTTCTGATTCTTTGTCACTGAGGAAGGCTCTGCAGAATACACACAGCTCCCTTTATTTAAATGCTTCATCTTCTTTGTACATCTTCGAAATTTGTTTGTTTCTTCCTCAAGCGGCCTCTTCGTACTTGGAGTCTTGTGAGGAGGAAAGTTGTTTATCCAAGGTCACCCCAAGAGGCCAACGGGACAGTTGTCGTTATATCTGGCTTGCTGGACTCTTAATTCTTCTATGTCTTCTACTCTAATTTGTATAATTAGAAGTCGTGGAAATGTTCACGGTTCAGAATCTCAAAAGTTCGAGTACTGTTCATTTCGTTCATGCAAAGAAATTGTTATTAGCCCAGCGATGCAGCTTTTAAAAGTGCTCAGACCTGCTGTCAGTATTTAGTTACTTGACATTCTGAGTCAGCTGGGGCATGAGCCAGCAACTCTTCCTGTCATTGCTTTTTTGTCTTGTTTACTCCTTCAGAGAAGTTGGGGTGTGATCAGGGCAAGTCATTGGGGTTGAAGAGATCTGTCACGGCTGATATGACAGTGGTGGAAGGAAATCCTGTTCTTGCAAAACAGTTGCATTCATAAGTACATATACTTGGAAAAATTTATGGCAAGAGACTTTTATTGTGTTTCTCTTACATAATTAAGCTTTAATACTGTCCCAAGTATTAGCTTTTGTTCTATACCAGAGACCCATTACAATATTAAGCATACAACTAGTCATTTAATATTTGTGCAGTGCAATTGGTACATGTCTATTAGAAGTAAGCCTTGTTGAGTTCAATAGGACATGCTTCTAGATAAGATGATATAGGATTGAAACCTTAAATAGATATAGAGACACAACTGAGTTGCCTGCTTCTAAATAAAATTTCTGCCATTGAAATTTCATAAACTGATACATAGCCAGCACTAGAAGCTCAGTTACTAAGATAGTTGGCAGTCTCTTGTGATTACAAAATTAATGATCCTTAAAGGAATTACTTTTCTCAAATATCCTCTACGCTAATTTAATCTACTGCGACTAAAGTGCCAGTTTTTATTGTACCTTTAACAGCTAACAGGTTTACTTAATTTAAACTTTCATGAATTGGAGCCGACTTTTATCAGATGCATCTGAAATGGTATTTGTATTTAGGGATCTAAATACCAAAGGGTATTTAGGAATTCATCTGCCAGGGGTTCTTTAGCTGTGATTCCTGCATTGAAGGGAGTTGGAGTAGATGACCCCTTGGATCCCTTCCAACTACAATTTTATGATGTTATGAAATCAGTCTCTAGGTGGGTTGCAAACAGAAATATAAATCACAACAATATCAGTTAATAATATCTTTTTAACATGTATCACAAACTGAAAGTAAAACATACACTCAACAGGAACAGGAATATTGGAGAGTCTACATTCAACAGAGGCTTGTGAGCAGGCTTAGAAATTTTACTACAATAAAGAATACAATGTTTAAGTTAATAAAGTAACTCATAACAGCATAGCAAAAGCATCTTCATAAGGGTTTGCTGTAAGAAAAATCTGGTGGTTGTAGTAATAAAAGATATTGCCAGCAACAGTTTAGCTAGTGAGCTACTAGTGATATGTAGGTGTATCATACTTCACAACTGAAATTATTGCTAAATAGATTTGAAGGTCAAATTAAGTCTGATTTCTATAAAGCATAAACTGCCTTGAATCCCACACTTGTTTAAAGATTCTGTTCTTAAAGTTGTTACGGTGCATTTACTTTTAACAAATTCGTGTTACTTAAGAAATGTAGTGGGTTTTTTTATTTAAAAAAATAAGTGGCAATTTTAACATTTAATATTATAATCTTAATTCTCCAATTTGGCTGTATAGGAACAAATGATTGTCTCTTTCATGGTATAGTCTAGAAATTTCCAGCTATTTTATGGAAAATAGAAGCTTTGGCTTTGAACCAAAGGAGAAAATGCATAATAATATGAAAAAGAGAACCACATATTCAAAACAACTTTGTTTGTCTTTGATAATCGTAGCAGATCCCCGATAAACCTTACAAATAAGCTGATGACACATGCCACTTTAGATTTCACTTTTATCTGGCCTAGACTCTGTAGAATTAGTGCAGCAGAATGTAACACTCTGGCTCTGAAAGCACAGTTTTAAGTGTACATATTGGGAATATCTATTATTATTCATAGATTCTTAAGCATCCTTCACCTCACGGTTCTAGGGTTTGTATAAAATGTTACTCATTTTTAAAAATGCAATTAGAAGCATAGGTACTAGAAGGTAGGTACTACTAAAACACATCTCAGGTGTCAAAAGCTGGGGTTAATAGGTATGAAGGATGCGGGTGGTGCTGTGGGTTAAACCACAGAGCCTAGGACTTGCCGATCAGAAGGTCGGCGGTTTGAATCCCCGCGATGGGGTGAGCTCCTGTTGCTTGGCCCCTGCTCCTGCCAGCCTAGCAGTTCGAAAGCACGTCAAAGTGCAGGTAGATAAATAGATACTGCTCCGGCGGGAAGGTAAACAGTGTTTCCATGTGCTGCTCTGGTTCACCAGAAGCGGCTTAGTCATTCTGGCTTAGTCATTCTGCCAATAAAGCGAGATGAGTGCCGCAACCCCAGAGTCGGTCATGACTGGACCTAATGGTCAGGGGTCCCTTAGAATGAATCACATTCTAAGAATTATTTTCTTTCAAGGGCATATTTGGATTATTGTATCTACTGTGCTTGCTTGTTTTGGAGTTTCTGCAGGACACTGCTGGCAGTATCCTGCCAGTGGAACTCTTGCCCACATTATCAGTGGGGCAGAAGGGGTAGTGCCGCACAAATAAATGATGCTTTCTGTGTGCACAGTGAGAGACTGCCTAGCCCAGACAGCTGGGCAAAGGCATAAGGAGGGTTTGGATTACTCTGTTACTTGCCTTCTGTATATTAATAATAATAATAATATAAGAATGAATGTCTATGCTAATTAATGAAAGACTTTGATGGTGACTGAGACTTAACTAAGTTGCCTTTGTGTTTTAATGCAGATTCCACACACTGCTGCCTATTGTTATATTTTACTAACCACTGCTGCATGGCGGGACATCTGACCTCCAGCTGAAAGTAAAAGAGATAATCTGCCCAGCTACTCAATACATTTTACAAGACAGGTACACTTAATATTTGATGAAATAAAGTTATTGATAAAGAAAGTGAATTGTACTGTAAAGTTAACAGTGACAGTGCCTTGTCTGGAAATTCTTAGTACTGTGTTCACTTTTTCATGCTGAAAATGTCATTTTGAAAAGTTATCAATTGGTGATAGTTCAGAATAGCCATTTAGTTTTATCTGTTAAATTAAAATAATGCTTCAACTATTTTAATTATAGGGCCATTCCACATCAAATCAACGCAAAAAACAAGGGTTTTGTCACCCACCATCTCAGATTTTGATGAGACTTGGTGCACACCCTTCCCTTTATTGATTTCCTGGTAGCCGGTTTTCATAACTTCAAATTCAAATATCCCACAATTAAAACAAGTATGCTCTTTAAAAACCAACCAACCAATATTATGCTAATTTTTAAGATGAACAACTTTGTTTCATAATTTTTTTATATTTCAGCTATGGATTGTAGGAAAGTTGTACAAAATGGCTCCCCAGAAGCCATCCCCCCCCCCCCCCGGATGTCCAAAAAATGTAAAATTTTTGTTACAAGGAATAAAAAACCCATACATTTTATTCTTTGTTGAGAAAGAGCATGTATTTGCAATAATTTTCAACATCAAAAACTTTGGGTTCCATCATGCCTACATGCTGAAAATTCAGGTTTTCTAAACCTAGTTTTTCCGCAAAAAAACCTAGGCTACAAGTACATTTATACTTTTTTTTAGGCATTTATAAAATCTTTTGAGTGCTGGTGTATTTTTTTCTGAATTTTTTGTCATTTTATTGAGCTCTGTGTAAACTTTCAAAGAGATCTGATCATTGGTTATGGAGAAAAAAATAAAATGTACTCAAGGGTATCTTGTCCTGAGGGTCTCAAGAGGGACAGACAACGCGGATTTAATGAAACTTCGAACTGCTATAAAAGTAAAACCGTTCAAGAAAGAGGGGAAAAAATTAAGGGGGTTTCTTTCAACCATAAGGGAAGGGTGTGCACCAAATACCCCAAATTTCATCAACATCTGAGACAGAGGGTGACATGACCTCATTGGAATGACGTGGAATGACCCTACAGTAAAAAAAAACCAAAACACTACTGCCGCATAATCTTTGTGAAGATCCTACTAGAATGTAAGCAGGGGGGCTGCTGAAGGATCGCATTCAGCCTTGGCCAACCCTCTGGTGGGTGCATGCCAGTGGAGTATGTGACCAAAAGTCATGGGGCTGCCCTACACTCTTGTACTCACACCACACACATGTACAGAACAAACAGTGCCCCACCATCCGAGCAGTTTGCACCCCCTTCAGCTTGATGGCACCAGTGCTATCCCTCCTTTGATTATATGCTCTTTTTCTGCCACTACCACAATTGTGGGGTTCAGGGGCCCCCCAAAAATGGAGGCTGACTCAGGTCTTCAGGCTGGGAGTTAGCCACTCCTGGTGTAAAGTATCAAGGAGTGATCAGATTTATTGGGTTTTGATCCTCTGCTTATCTTAGGTTGCTTATAGATCATGTCTTTTCCCAGGAAGTTGGCATCACCATTACCCCTCATTTCATTCTCCTCTCTGAATGCCTAGAGCCTTTTTGGAATTGTTAACAGTTTTTAAATCTGTTTTAGGTAGTATACATTATTATATGTGCACTTCTTTCTAGCATCATGCCGTTCAGTAATATATTATTTTCCTCCCTAATCTAGTAATATAAAATTGTGCTTTGGATGGAATGAATCAGTGTAATTGTTTCTCAGGATATACTAATGTAAATGTCTTTCATTTTGAATAGCTGTGTAAGAAGGCCAAAGTTAACCATGAATGGACAACTGGATTTGAGTGGAAAGCTTATAATTAAAGCTCAAATGGGTGATGATATTAGAAGAATTCCCATTCACAATGAGGACATCACCTATGACGAGTTAGTGCTGATGATGCAGAGAGTTTTTAGGGGAAAGCTGCTGAGCAATGATGAAGTTACAATAAAATACAAAGACGAAGGTAGGATTTCTTTGAACTTTTAGTCTTAACTAATAGAACAAAAATCTTTTTGGTGTTCCAGTTGTTTTTGTTATGGCACATTTCTCTTCTTTTTCTGACCAGTGTAGAGCTCTGTCCTTGGTATGTCAGCACAGTGCTAGTAACCTGCAGGAAGTGTGGTAGGAAACAAAAGTTATGGCAGCATGTCATAGATATTGCTTATTTATATTGAGCTTTTCACTGTATAACTGAGTTTCTTACCTCCGTGTAGGTGGTAATGCTGAGCTTAAAAGTGATGCATTCTGTGATGCTGTATCTGTGAGTGATCTCCAAATAAGTTATACATAGAATACAAATTGAAATCAATGAACTTAAGTGTTTCTACTCTCAATATTGCCTAATGTAATGGGGCAGTTCCACCAACCTAGGAAATTTCAGCCTTTTCTGGGACTTTAATAACTACCATGGGTTTTCCAGCAAAAACTTAAAAGCAAAGGCACCCCCTCAAGATTTGGAACTAGTCTGGGACAGATGCTTGTCTTGAATGAGCCCAAAAATTAATATTTGTAGAGAGTCAAGAGGGAGGCAACTGTGAGACTCGGGGAACCAGTGGTTCTGAGCCTTCATTAGCACAGGAAAGGGTTAAGGCTTTGTTCTACAACTGGATACTGACACCAACAGGAGAAAGTTGGAAATTGACATTGCTGAATCCTGTCAGCAGTCCCAGGGGTCTCATACGGTTCTACAGTGGTGCCTCGCAAGACGAAATTAATCCGTTCCACGAGAGTCTTCGTCTAGCGGTTTTTTCGTCTTGCGAAGCAAGCCCATTGACGGATTAGCGCTATTAGCGCTATTAGCGGTTTAGCGGCTATTAAAGGCTTAAAGGCTTAGGGATTAGCTGCTAAAAGGCTATTAAAGGCTATTAAAGGCTTAGCAGATTAGATAAAGGGGGGGAAAAGCGAAAAAAAAATCTCAAGACTCGCAAGATATTTTCGTCTTGCGAAGCAAGCCCATAGGGGAATTCGTCCTGCGAAGCAACTTCAAAACGGAAAACCCTTTCGTCTAGCGGTTTTTCCGTCTTGCAAGGCATTCGTCTTGCGGGGCACCACTGTATATTGGAGGCTTGCACCCCTGAACAAGTGGAGCTGTGACTCTCCAGACACCTGACTCGTATCCCAAAGGACATTTGCTGTATTAGGCCTATATATACCTAATACAGTATATAAATACTGTATTAGGCCTGTATGCGCAAAGTTCCTATAATTCTCAAAAAAAATTGCCTTGAACAAGTGCTGCTACTTTGTTGTTACCTGAAGTAAGGGATTGGGCAAGTCTCGCCTATATCTGCAGTATAATCCAGAGAGCAGCACCAGTGTAAAGTGGAAGAGCATGCTGGCATGCATTTCGCAAAGTAGCTTCTGTCTGAACATGCCCAGAGTGTTTCTCTGCTTCTTAGCTTTTCTTGAAATTACTAGTCATTTGGGGACTGGACAGGACTTTTGGCTCCTGGCTCAGTCTCATATGGAATAATCTATATTTAGGGAAAAACTGTGTTTTGTTGCTTTGGAATTTACTGGGGGAAATGACTCCCATTAAGATTGATGTGGTATGTTTTCCACTGGTACTTCTACATTATGATTTTGGGGTTCCCTAGGAACTCCAAAATTAGCAGATGTGCTTATCTACCACAGGGCATTGGGGCATCAGCGGGCAGCTTTCATAATGTAGCGCCAAGTACTGTGAAGTGGTCACTGGACATGCTTTAGAGAGCAGATTCTGTGGACATAGTCTTTGCATTACTTCCATTTATTATTTATATAAGTAACTGCTATGTAAAGTTGATGGAATGCTGGTGAATATTTTAGAGGAAATTGGAATAGGAGAGGCTAAATAATATTCTGCCAGAAATTGTTCTATAGGTATGTAGTGGGGGGGACCTGCTAACTTTATTATCCAGAGTCATCTTCTCATTTCATATACAAATTCTTTATTTGTGGAAAGGAGGATGTGTTTACCTCTAACTGAAGCTCTTTAACAATGGTCACAGTATTATTTGGAATGCATAAAATAAGCTGTCGTCATGGACATATTGCAAACAAAAATTTAATGTCCTGAGTGCACTACTGTATGATGCAAGTGACAATCCGTAAAGTGATTATTTTTATTAATGTGCATTAGATCTGATTCGTAATTCTCTTTAATTAACAGATGGAGATCTTATAACAATCTTTGATAGCTCAGATCTTTCTTTTGCAATTCAGTGCAGTAGGATACTGAAATTGACACTGTTTGGTAAGTACTAATGATGTTTGAGTCACATGAAATTCTTGTACTTTGGGGGGGGGGTTCTTAGCAAACTAGTGCTTTTCCCTTAATTATTATGCATCTTAGTAATAAACTTCCCTTCATGCCCACCCAGCAATACAGGCATTTACAGGTGGCATAAGCCATGTTGTCTTGGAAAAGGGCATTTATTTATTTATTTGCTAGCTTGGAGTACCCAGAACTGCCCAGGAACTTTTAGAAACCAAAAAATATTTTGTTTTTTAAATGGATAGTGTAATTTGTCAGTTTGGACCCATCACACCAAAAATGGCTAAAGTTATGTCAAAGTCATGTATTAGTCTGTGATCTTGATTCAAATTGGTTATTAGAGTCCAAGAAAGACCCTTCCCACAGGAAACCTTTATGCTGAGTTCAGTGATGATATATTGAGAGACGGCTAAACCTATGCCAAAAAGTGGGCAAAGTTACCCAAAGTTTTAGTCCACCATCTTTATTCAATATGGCATCTAGCATTCAAATGTTGATGAAGAGCACTGCCCCCACCTCAGGAATCCCCATGCCAAGTTTGGTGACGATATCTTGACAGGTATCCAAATATATAGCAAACAAACAAATGGATGGGCAGATGAACAAACCATTTCTCAAAATATAGGAAATTTGATTTCATAGGCACCCTTTACTTGAAGATCTTAAGGCAGGTTTCCACAAAGTGCATTCTATTTTCACAGTTAAGGTTGCATTCAGGCTATGCAATGCTTTTACTTTTATTCTTACAGGAAGGCAATTGAAAACTCTTGTGCCATAAAGACTCATTAGTATAATATTTCTTTTACAGTGAATGGGCAGCCAAGGCCTCTAGAATCTAATCAAGTGAAATACCTCCGTCGAGAGCTGATAGAACTTCGTAACAAGGTGAATCGTTTGCTGGATTGCCTAGAGCCCCCAGCTGAACCAGGACTTTCCACAAGCCTCCCTGAAAATGGTAGGTTGGCAATTGGCACTGCCAAATAATTGCTTGAGCTTTCGCAATTGTGTGTGCATTTCCCATGTAGAACCCCCCACCCCATCCTTTTCCCAACCAGAGTTCTACTTAATAAGACTCTGTAATCTCTTAAAAATAAGTATCTAAATATTGGATATCTTTTCTACGATCTCTGTTGCAGCTTGGGGTAAAAATCCTGTGCTAGTATTGTGCTCAATATACACCAAATTTGTTGTGCTAAGGTGTAAAAAAAAGGGATATAATTTGTTGAATAAATAAAACTTATGAAAAGTCATCACCTTAATATACAACATGACCAAGTGCCCTAAAGAATCCCCATTTTAAATAACTTGTGTAATATTGGTTATTACGGTGTGCTGAGATGGAATACATTCTTCAGTTTACTGCATTCATGCTGACCCTATCTCTGGGGAGAAGTCGGGAGTGGTTCTTAAGCATGTCTGGCATATCCTCTGTGGGAAGAGGGAGATGACTGAATCAGAAAATCCTGAGAGTTTTGAATGTGTGTTTAACTACCACTAATTGGTCAGCTGCCTTGTCAGATGTTATTTGAAATATTCAGACATGTGGCAATCAATCCCCTGCATGTGTATATTGAACCTTCTTCATATATGAACTTCCAGTTACTTTCTTTGAGTGAGAAACATTTATTGTGCACCATGGGGAAACCCCATGAACTCTCTGTCTCCAGCTTGCTGCTTTGCTTCTGGCCCACATCACTGCAAATCCTCAACTCTCACCTTTGTATTTTTTTAACTGCCAGCCTGTTTCCCTTAATGGCTCATCACTTAGAACTAAATAAACAAGGCAAGAGCAATTGTTCTGGGGACAATCATGACACCTGAGTTTCTCTTGTGCAGTTGGCAGGATCCTGAGGTGGTTATTAATTCTTCCCAAATCTTAGTCTCGTTTTGTATCATATTCTTACAGATGACAATGTTACTTTTCTTTTGATCTGGAAAGAATATCGCCTCATTTGTTGTCTGCTTCTCTAGGTTATATAGGGTCAGTTGGGTGTATCATCATCAGATTGTTACCTTATATTAGATCAAAATCTATTTTGCGTTGATCTGAAATAGGGCACTTCACTTAATCTGCTTTGCTGTTTGCAAAATAGATCTCCATTTTGCTAGTCAATAAGTCAAATGAAATTTTCATGCTCCATTGTTGGGTCAGAGTTGTTGAACACAAACGAAAGCATGAGGTGGTGATGTGTACTGGAATGTATTTATACCATCTTGGGGGGTGGAGGGGTATAATTTATATTTCTTGTGGAAAAACATTTGACAGTAAATGTTAAAATTCAAAGAAGCAACTTTTGTTGTCGTTAAAGTAGCCTTTCTTCATGCAGAGTAATTTTAGTAAAAGATGGTAACACTTCTGATGTGGGCTTTGAGGTTCCTAAGCAAGCTGTCATAGTCCTTGAAACAAACTTGGATACTCCAATCAACAAGGCCTCTTAAAAGTTATTTTTTTGTCTTGCAGATGTTGCAGAGAGTAGGGAAGATAAGCCTGCTACTACTGACTCCACTGTCAAGCCTTCTACTCAAGTTATGGCAGCAAGTATGTCTGCTTTTGATCCATTAAAAAATCAAGATGAAATCAACAAAAATGTCATGTCAGCATTTGGGCTGGCAGATGATCAGGTGTCGGGTAAGAATACATATTTTATTGAAACCCTTGCTGAAATTTGAACCTTTCAAAATCATCCATGCATCATGAGGATCTTGTAGAATGAATGTGAGGGAGATACAAAATTCTTATTTTATTATAGTTAAAAACATTGGTAACAATTAAACGACAATACTTTTCCAGTACCAAAATGTCTTGACAGTTCCCAAGATGTAATTAGATATGGTAGGTCAGCTAACATCTGTTTGGTGTCAGCTGATACTCAGTCTTACTGTCTCTTGAACTTCCCCAAAATGCATAAAGGTCTATAATTTTTTATGCCTTTTGTATGTATTCTTCCTGTAAAATGCACACTTCTCAGGGCCTTTCAATGCACTCCCCCCATAAATATCCATTTGCGTGTGTGTGACAAGTAATGCATAATCCTACTGATAGTGATGTTCCTCAAGTTCATCAAGTTGAATCGGTTAGGACCACTGTGAAAAATGGACTTAACAAATTCCTCCCCTATCCTTCGAGAAAGCATTTTTTACCAGACACGAGGCAGCAAATTAGACACATTGATTTCTGTAGCATCATTAATCCATTCCAAGGGCTTGTCTGTGATCTTAATTTGAAGGAAACAATGTATGCACAGCATGACATTCCTGCATAGTGTACTACCTTTGCCTCTCTCAGTAGCATAATTCTTGTTTTAGACTATTTTTCTGTCATCTGCAAAAGTGGTTGGATGATTAGTATGCTCCAAATTTAGCTTGCACTTCCTGAAGGTCTTGATTTTAATTTTGCACTAGGATCATTAGATGTAGACAACACCAAAGCCCTAGAACCATCATGCCATATGTACATGAAAAGTGCTGTTTCTGGAGTTTTATGTGCTTACAACATGAATGCCACATGGATGGTCAACCTAAAGACATACAACCCATGGCTAAATTGTGCTCATTCTTAGTTTAAAGAATTGAGCATAGTATTTTATGTTGTAAAAGCAAAAGCATTGCCCTTCCGATCACACATAAAAATTTGAAAAGGAATGCAGTATGTCTGAAAGAGTCAGAAAACAGAAAATACATGTAAGAGGATTTTTTGGTGATACATTAACAATAGTATCTTAACAGTAATGACTGGATAGCTTTTCTCTGTGTGTGAAAACAATCTATAATACAAAATGGAAACTCCTGAGACGTGGCTCATAGGGTGTCACTTTTAAGGGATTAAACATACTCCAAAGCTGTGATCTGGTAATTGACAAGTGCATGTAATTATCACATTAATTATAAATAGGGAGAACCTATTTGCTACATTGCTATAATGTTTCATAGTGCAGAGTAAGTTGCTTGCCCCATTGCTTGGACTAATCACTGAGTATATTCACTGTAAAAAACAAACAAAAACGTATTCTCGAGAAAATGGGGTGTTGAGTTGGTTTTCTTGATGCAAAATTAGCCTTGTGCAAGGCAAATTTAGCATGTTACAGCTGTCCATGTAGACTGTACTTTGAGTAGTGAAAATTGATCTGCCCCAAAGCAGTCAGATGATGAATTCATGCCATAGCTGTTGCATGGTTTGAATTTGCTACATGCTTAGGTTACCCTTGGGTTGCGTAAATTTGGTGCTCTGGCTCTATAAAATAGGGATATATTTGGAGGGTTTGTGTCTATATATAAATGATTTCTGAAGAGCAACGGCAGTAATTACCCTTTAGTGCTACTATGGCCACATTCACATCATACATTTAAAGCACTATGATGCTACCTTAAACAGTCATGGCTTCCTTCAAAGTTAACATCTCTACTCAGCCTATACTATAAAAATGACTAACGTGGAACCTAAATATCCTTTATGTACAGGCAACTCACCTTTCATGTCTGGGTTGCATTCTGGGTCATTGCGCATGTCAGTGGTCGTGCATAAGCCTGTGCTGCCACCACCCCGTTTCAACTCCCCTTCTGTGGCTGAAAGCAGTGCACATGTCGGTGATCACGCACCCAAAATGGTCACCTCCTGTACTTGGGGGTTTCCTTGCTGAATAGACTGTAATGGTTTTATTAGCAGGGAGGATGCCCTGACATCTAATGAAAGAATGTGGGGACAGGAAGGTGCTGTAGAAGTTTCAGGGCATTGGATTTGATAATTTGTCGTCAATCTGAGCAAATTACCAGAAACAGTGTGTGAGTGTTGAAACTGAAATACTTATTAAATAGTTATTGAACTAATATTTTTAAATCATCCCAGGCTTCACATCAGTCTTGTTGCTGCTTCCATGTAGATTGTCATTTATTTAATTTATTGCAAAATTATGTTTGCAGTAACAGGGATGTTTCCTTATTGTGCCTTTGAAATTGACATTTCTGAACATTCTGAATTTTTAAAAAAACTTCATTCAGATTTCATTAAGCTGAGTATAGCTAGCATTCAAACTGCAAAGCCTTTAAAGCAGGTACATCAGTATAAGCCAGCCGTAACTTTGTGGAAAATGACAACAATAATATTAGCCCAGACACACTGAGAAATTGTACAGACCTGTTGAAAGATGTTTTATTAAGGAATAAGAGTTTCCCTTGGTAAAGAGGTTTTAAAACACGTTGGGAACTTGTTCAGTTATGTTTGTGCTGCTGAAAGAAATTGCCAGATTTTGGAGTATAAAGGTAAAGGTACCCCTGACCATTAGGTCCAGTCGCGGACGACTCTAGGGTTGTGGCACTCATCTCACTCTATAGGCTGAGGGAGCCAGTGTTTGTCCGCAGACAGCTTCCAGGTCATGTGGCCAGCATGACTAAGCCGCTTTTGGCGAACCAGAACAGCACACAGAAACGCCGTTAATCTTCCCGCCAGAGTGGTACCTGTCTACTTGCACTTTGACGTGCTTTGGAACTGCCAGGTGGGCAGAAGCTGGGACCGAAACAATGGGCGCTCACACCGTTGCAGGGCTTCGAACTGCCAACCTTCCGATCGGCAAGCCCTAGGCTCTGTGGTTTAGACCATAGTGCCACCCGTGTCCCTTTTGGAGTATAGTAGATTGTATATTACGCCTTTTAAATATGGAAACATGAAATGGTACACCAAATTTTATTAATGAAAGTCAGAGAGATCACTAGAATCCTGTGTCTGCATTGTTTTCCCCAGGACCCCCCAGTGCCCCTGTAGAAGAACGTTCCGGAACACCCGATAGCATTGCTTCTTCATCTTCTGCAGCTCATCCACCTGGAGTTCAACCACAGCAGCCACCATATGGAGGAACTCAGCCACAAACTGGTCAGATGGAAGGTGAGCAATACCTGTGCTCCATTATCCTGCAGATGGGGTGTTTACTTGCCCTACCCATCTCTCCTAATACGATGCTGCCTGTGCTCTTTTCTTCTTCAGCTCTACCATTCTCATCTGCGTGTAGATGTCTTGCTCTTTTAAACTACTGTATCCATTGTCAGTTGCTGGCCCTCACTCCATGTGCTCCATCTCTCTACACCCCCAACAATCTCTCAAATGCAGCTGTTTTGCCAGACCTTCATTTCCAACTCTAACCAAGCCTAATTACATTTAGCTGCACATCTCACATTCATCACCCGCTATGCTTGTATCTTCCCTCCCTTTGTCTTCTGTCAAAATTTAGACTGTAAGCTCCTTTGAGGCAAGGACTTGTTTTTATGCTACCCTGGCAAAGTGCTGTGTATACCTATAGCACTGCATAAATAACTGCTAAAAATAAATAATAACATTGCAGATGATTCCATTAGTTGTTTTAGCATAAAGCTCACAAAACAAACAGGTATAAAACAAATTAAGAAGGCTCAGTTCTGATTATGCAGCATTTAAAACAGTAGATGGTGCTACAGTGTTTGCAAGCAAGGCAGTCCTATAAAATGAAAACAAAGTACATGAAAACTATTTTGCAGGATTATTGTAGTGGTTTAAAAGGGTTGAAGTGACAGTTCAATATTGTTTAGCAGTACTGTCAAACAGCTAATTTTTGTATTAGAAACATCTGCTCTGTCCAGTTATTAATACTGCAGAAAACTTAAAACCTTCCCTTCAACAGTGTAGAAACTGACTTTGCAGAGCAGTGTTTACATTCCTCATGCTAGGTTCTGTGTAACTATAAAATGAATGTTTGCCTCGAAAAGCATGTATTCTATATTGTAGATTAAAATAATAATCTTTGGGCGCTATCCAGTGAATAGTTCTGTTGGTGCAAGGATTTCCGGCTGTGTAGCACAACTTCCCCTCCCTCTCCTCTTGCCCCATTTGGGCACCCTGATACCTTTCCCAAATCTGCTCTATAGAGTTGTGGGAACCAACTTCTTGAACGGTTGATTTACTTGGTGTTTAATTTTTATTCTTAATTATGATTTTAATGGTGTTTAATGCCCTGGGATTCTTGAGTGAAGGACAGACTTCAAATATCTCAGATACATTTTTAATTCTTTTACTTTTAACTTTTTTTATTTTTACTGGTATGTTTTTATATTCTTGAAAACCACTGATATATTTTTATGATAGTGGTATATAAATATTTCTATAAATAAATAAAGTACATGCACACATACAAGATTGCCTTCAACGCTTAAGCCTTTCCAAAGACCTGACTGTTACTAGCCAATAACCTCTTTCAAATCATGTTTGGATAATATGAGTTTTTTTAAATATAAAAGAAAAGAAAGGGAGTTGGAGGGGGCCTCACTTTTTGTTACACCAGATAAACAGTTTTCTTGGGAAATCTCAATTTCTTCAAGAAAACATGTTTATTTAGATTCAGTAGCTTCTCAGTTTTTAAAAATATATAGGTTAACCTTAAGCAAATAATATTTGAGGCAGGTAAGACTGAGCTGCTCATATTTCTTAAATTTCTTAAAGCTTTTAATTTAAATTGGTAGGCCAGATATATCCACAATATCCACAACAAGCTGGATACCCTGCTCAGCAGCCTCAGCCTCAGCCACAGTATGGTATGCAGTATCCAGGTAAGCAGGTGGAAGGTACCTCAAAATTTTTGTATATAGTACAAAATGTGTTCACTTAACTGTATCCTGAAATGCATGCTCTCTAATTCTGTTCTGAAATCAAACTAATTTTCTGTAAACTTCAGTATTTTTTTGCAAATTATCACTGTGCAAGGGACCTTAAGACTTTACTCAGCAACTATCTTCTTAGGTGCAATTCAGTTGCAGAAGCATGAAAACTTTGCGTGTGTGAGACAGAAAGTAGATGATCCTGGACAACATCTGAATAATGCAACCATGGGGACAGGGCAGATTAGTTTTTTCCAAGTGGTTGCATCGTTCACATAACGATTACCATTTTGATACAGGCCCCAGATAATGCGGGATAACCTTACCGAAAGGTAGCTCCTAAATAGTTGTTTCTAAGTATGAAGGGCATCTCAGAGGTTATTGGAGGAATAGCATTCAATCCTACTTGTTCTTGCTAAGAGGTTGTGCCCCTCAAAGTTTACTGAAGATGATCCAGTTAGAACACACTGTTTTGGAGCTGGTGGGTGGTGGGTTTTTTTACATTAACATGTGGAGCATCAAAAGAAAAGGCCTGCATGAGGTTTTTCTTGCTTCCCCATTCTCCCCTGATTGGCCTCCAGAAAGCATCTGGAACTCTTCAGTTGAAGTGAAATTAGTCAAATACTCCCTTAAAATGCTCAATAAATTGGGAGAGGTTGAGAAAACAATGCATTTTTTTCTTTTGAAGAAAACTCAGATCTGGTGTTTACATTTGCCTCGAACATTGACCCATTGAAGTCCTTACTATAAGCTGCTTTTATCCGTACCAGGGCAATTTTTGAGGCCCATTTCCCTGTGAATACCACAGAGATGCTACTAAGTCAAGCGATTACAGGCAAAGTTAACTATTTCCTGAGGTAGAAGTTTCTGAGTTTGGTGTTGTTGCAGTGAAGCCATTCCCTTTTTATTTGGCTGTCGTGTGCGCTTTTTCCAATACGAGGCAGTTTCTTATATATTGATACCAGGTAGTAGGATTTGTTTCTCCTGATCATCGCTACGTGTCAGTTTTGGTAGGACTAGACTGAGCTATCCAAAGCACACCTAAGCTTGGTAGTGCCTTTGTTTTAAAAAGTAAATTTGAGCCCAAGTTCCAGGTGAGTTCAAAATTTACTCCACTGTATTCTCTCATCCTTGCTTTCTCTGTTCAGGGTCTTGCCTTTTTAATAATTGTTATATATCTGGTGTTTAATGCTAACAGGATTCCAGTCAATGGAGATGTTTCATTGCAAGTAGTTTCAGGTGTGTTTCATGCCAGAAATAAATGGAGTATCAGTCTTTGTACCGGTTTCTTTTTTTACATTTGCAATCTGAAATTCTTTTCAGTCAGACTGATAGTGAAGCACAAGTATTAAAAGCACCTAAACTGTTGCCAGCATCTACTTTTGAGATTAGTGTCTGGAGGAATTTTTGTGTGTGCAGAACTAAATATGTTCAATTAGTTGTGTGAGCTGACTTGTTTCAAACTAAGAATAATACATAGCTTGATTATTTATGAAATTGCACTTTAGTAAAATAAGACATCACTGAATATAACTGCATTTTAAAGAAAGATTTTAAAACATATTGGAAATAATTGCCTAAATGGTTGTTGGATTAAAACTCCCGTTTTAATCCAACAACCATTTAGGCAATTATTTCCAATATGTTTTGGCCATGATAGTTGGGACTTGTGGGAAGTAGAGACTTACAACATCTAGAGGGCTACAGGTTGTCCTCTCCTGCTTTAGAGCAACACTATTGGAGAATGTTACTCCACCTGCACTTTTATGCACTGGAGTTGGCTAGTATGTATCCAGGCTGGGTTTTTTTACATTAAAAAATGCAATTCATGTTTTACCCCCCACCCCCTGTTGTTTTTCATGTATGTTTTTAGCTTTTGTCTGGAATGTCTGTATTTTTTAAGAATGCATTACAAAGTGAACCGTTGTGTTACTTTCACTTACCTGCATTGCTGTTTGGCTCTTCCAGCAGGCTACAGCCAGCAGACTGCTCCTCAACAAGCACAGCAGTTCCAAGCATACAGCCAGCAGCCCTCACAGGCTCCAGCTCCTGGGTTTCCTGGTCAGCCTCAACCTCAGCAGCTGCCAGCTCAGCCTCCCCAGCAGTATCAGGCAGGCACCTTTCCTGCACAGAACTACACGACACAAGCTTCACAGTCGGCCAGCTATAATGTGACCCCAGCTTCGCAACCTGGGATGGCTCCCAGCCAGCCAGGTGCTTATCAGCCAAGACCAGGCTTCACTCCACCGCCTGGAACTACTATGACACCCCCTCCAAGTGGCCCTAATCCATATGCACGCAATCGCCCTCCTTTTGGCCAGGGTTACACCCAGCCAGGTCCTGGCTATCGATAAGGAAGCTGTGCTGTTGATGGGCCCCAAGTAAGTCCAAGTTGTTGCCGTTGCTATTCCATCCATACAGACTCCAAGGTTCTTTAACTAAAATATGGAAACTAATGAAAGGCAGAATATTCTATGGTATCACTGTTGCTGTATAATTTGCTGGGATAAATGACCAAATGAATCTTGTTTCCTGCTTTAAATTGTATTGGCTTTCTAGTTTAATATTGGAAACACTACCTAAATGTTTGTAAAGTAATGACATTCTGACTTGCCATATTAAACTACTAGGTGAAAAAATCTAGCTGAAATCTGGCTTGTTTTTACTAATAAAATATGTACTAAATTAGACCCACTTGTTAAAACTAGGTATGATGTTTAAATTGTAACATGCACACTGAAATTGAATAAAATATTCAAATCATCCTTTTTTGTTCAATTGCCGGGCATTGCGTTTTTACTACATCCACTGCAACGTCTGCAGCTATAGTAAAGAACCCCCACCCCCCAATCAGGAATGCTTCAACCAATATAATTCTTCATGTAAGCCATCCCAGCTTTACTGGGGGGCTGCAGAAGACCTTGGATGCTGGCAAATTGTTACCAGCAAGTGTAGGTAATAGTTAACTAGGTGAAATGGTAGTCACTGTGTAAGGCATTGTACCTGTGTCCTAGGTGTAGTGACTACTAATCCCTATAATGGCCTGAGGCACTGCCTGTGCACTATACTAGGAAGGATTGATGTCCACTTCATGGTATTCACAGCTATTGAATCACATGCACCATGTCCTTTTCACCATCCAAGGGAATCTTGGAAATAGCTGTTTACTGACTCAAGAGCAACAAATTAATGGTTGTGTCAAAATGGATTCACAAACTTAATGTGACAGTGAATGTTCTGTGAAGTACTCATGTGACAGGCTTATTATAGTGCATGGGAATCATAACCTGTTAAGAGCATATATTGAAACACATTGGGTTATAGCCAGCTAAATTCTACTCAGGTCTGTTGATTTCAATGAGTCTGCTCTAAGTCGTGCCCATTAATTTCATGATTAACGTTGGAGACAACCCATTCGCATTTAGTTCTGTGGAATGAAGCAATTGAACTATTAGAGGTTACATTTTCAAAAGCCCCCATATATGTTAAAGTTCATAAAGTAACGTGATTTAACTATTTCAACCAATAATAGACTTAAGGTACCCAGCTATTACAACTGTATGAACCAATAGCTCCTTGTGATACTGCAAAACCATTTTGATTTATATATGTGCAGCTGCCACAAATGCACAACTTGGTAAGGTTGCATGTGCATGTCCTGTACGGGAGCACAATGTGTCACACAATGCTTCCATGTAAGACAAACCCAGCACATTCATTTAGGCAACCACATGAGGCTATGGAGCCTCTCAGCTAAGCCATATTGAGGGAGATGCTCTATTTCACATTGTTTACAAAATCTTAGTTAAGGAAGGATGTGGCACACTCTGAGTTTGCTGTCAATCTGTTGTACTGAAACAGGACACTCCCACCTCCCCCAAACTATCCAATAATTTCAGTTATAATTTCAAAATTGCAACTAAAGGTTACTGGAAAGTCTTTGAAGCGGCTCTCAAGAGAATTTAGAATTGTTTTCAGAATTTTTCAGTTTTGTGTCTGCTGAATATACCAATGGATCAAATACTACTTATGATTTAAAATACTTTATTAAGAGTACAGTGTACCGGCAATGTACTTAAAAGTTTTTTTTATTATAAACAACCAATCCAATATTCCTTGTGTTCTTTTTTAATACGCTGAATAAACACCTTTAAAAACCTACATCTCTTTATATATATAATGTTTAAATGTTTAAGCAATACAAATATATCACTTTGTGTAGAGGGGAAGCACAGAGCCATTTTTAAAAAACAGCTTTCATTTTTCCATTCTACAAAGCAGATCACATTACTGTTTCAACTGTATATAAAGATTTTTGTATGCTTCAGCCGTAATATATTCTACATGGTATTTGACTGAAGTCTGCATTCATCTTTACTCAACACAGTTAAAACCTAATAATCATACTAGCTTGTTAAGGGTACATTTAAACCTGCTTATTCTTGATTTTATGTCTTGATTTTTTGGGAGCACTTTATAAATTATGAATATTGCATACATGTTGGGAAGGCAGGTTTCACTGGAAGCAGTGAATGATTCTCTGCTTTGTAATGTAAAGGCAAACATAGTGCTTAAAATATATGACCTTGGTAAGTATTAGAGCACACAGTATTTTGAGATGCAACATCCTGTTTTGCTCCATTATAATGATAGTGATCACAAGGTTAAGGTTTGTACAGATCATCTCCCTGTTGTTTGCTGTAGCAACAGATTTTACCTTTAGGTGGCTGCATTCTATCTTTCGAGCAGAGCTGAAATCAATCCACTATAGAGCGGCAAAAATCTGCAGAGACATAGCTTCCAGTTACTCCAAAAGCACCATAGAAGCATGTGTATACAGTCCCTTCAATAGTTAGCTCCATCTATGCAAGACAAGCGTCTTGAGGAGCAGGCCTTACAAGCAAGCTGTAACCTGCTTTTGCCAAATAAAAGTCCTGTTGGACATACAAAATTAAAACCAATAGAGAATAAAACCTACCCTTAGGTGAGTTCTCCACAAAATGATGCAAGCATCCAATCTACCTCAGGCCAAGTGGTGAGCATTTTGCCACACTTTCAAATGGCAGAACGATTATTGACATGGGCTCAGTCAAATGGTTCTCTGGCATATGGCTGCCATGTTTAAAAACACAGGCTATCTGAGTACAGAGCTGTACAGAGAGCATCATTAGCTTTCCAGAGTGTTCAAATAGAGAACTGTATATTTGCAGCCTGGGCATATAAAGTAGCAGAAAAGCTAACCTGACAGAATAAGTTAAATGAGTTGAAAAATAAATCAGAACACGTACTTCGGCAGTATGCATCAATAAAATTCAGAATACATACTTTTCCATAAAAGGTGCCTCAAACAATGATAAATAATAAACTACATCTTTCAAAATATGTAGAAGGCACCAGAAGAGACTTAAGAGGGAGCCAGCTTCCCAAGTATTTTATGACATGTTCTAAGTTCCTACAACAGATCCATAAATCTGGACAACTATAATTAAGCAGCCAATGCTATCAAACAGTTAACACAGTATTGTTAGATTTCAGAATGAACAATACTACACCCACAACACATTTCCATCTCTCAGCTTGCCTGGCTTAGCCATAGCTGGATTGCAGCCATTTGGTATCATCCTTTGCTCTGCCATTTGTCTTATCTCTTGCTCTACCATTTTCCAGGTATTGTTGCTCCACACTCATACCAGTGGACGTAGTTAGTATGCGTCTCCGCGCCTATTTTCCCAAACTTGACCGGCTCTTGTCGCACCGCTCTAAAAAAGCCTGGTAAAACAAAATGAGGGAAAGTAGAAGTTGAACACTGAAATGCTGGTTCTGGTATTAACATTTGCCTAGGTGTACACTAGGTGTAAAATCTCTCACGGCCTCCCTTTCTTCCCCTTATATTTGCCAGGAGGTGATAGGACCAGTGGCCATGATCTTAGTTTTTTTGATGTGGAGCTTCAAATATGGTCTGAAGCTCAACATCAAAAAAACCTAAGATCATGGCTACTGGTCCCATCACCTGGCAAATAGAAGGGGAAGAAATGGAGGCAGTGAGAGATTTTACTTTCTTGGGTTCCATGATCACTGCAGATGGTGACAGCAGTCATGAAATTAAATGACGCCTGCTTCTTGGGAGAAAAGCAATGACAAACCTAGGCAGCATCTTAAAAAGCAGAGACATCACCTTACCAACAAAGATCCGTATAGTTAAAGCTATGGCTTTCCCAGTAGTGATTTATGGAAGTGAGAGCTGGACCATAAAGAAGGCTGATCGCCGAAGAATTGATGCTTTTGAATAATGGTCTGGAGGAGACTCTTGAGAGTCTCATGGACTGCAAGAAGATCAAACCTATCCATTCTTAAGGAAATCAGCCCTGAGTGCTCACTGGAAGGACAGATCCTGAAGCTGAGGCTCCAAAAGTCTGAGATTGATACATCCCCTTTCTCCATCTGGGCAACCATTATCACAGTTGAATGATGCATTCCAGCCAGCCAAAAGCATTCAAGTAGGGTATAGAGAAAGGCCACTTGGAAGTGTGGCCTGAGGAGAATCTGAAGAGCTGACCAGAGAGGCCTGGAGGCATTCAGCCTCTGGGCCTGAAGTTCTCTAGCCCATAGGGCAAGACAATGACAAGCATGAGCAAATTTTAGTTTGCAAATGTTTGTCCTAAACAAGCTTTTAGGAAGCCAGGCTTGGCTGTGGATCCATGTCAAAGTGTCCAAAAAGTCAAGACACAAACCCTTTAGAACATACCATCTTTGGTAGGTAGTTGATCCGACTGAACATGTGGCCCTGTTTTTCCGTCTAAATACGAGTCCACAAATTGACAATGATCTTCTCCATGCCCCCTCTGATCTCCTATGTCGTAAAATTTACCTGAAAACATGAAGATCGCCTTTAAAAAATGAGTGAAATCCAAATGCCATTAAATAAAGATTAGTGTTTATGACCGTCCTAAAGAATTTGACAAGAGGTGCATAAAACTGATCAGTCCCTGACCAGTAGACCATGCCTACAGCCCTATAAACACGTTTGGCCAAATCCAATTTGCTAATCCCCACCCCAAAAAAGCTAACCAACCCAATTGCAACTGACTTTACATAGGTTTGCACATTCACATCTGTTTGTGCTGGTCCTCATTTAGCTGGTCATTTACATCTGTGGAAACCTTCTTCCATGGGTATATGGCCCACTACCTGGACCATTTTGCTATCTCAAGAATGTACCCTGTCATTGACACTCTCTGCTAAGCTGGCAGCAGCCTTTTCAGGCGACTACAGATTCCATGCCCTTTAAAGTTGAAGGCAGGAATCTTTGTTCTACTTTACCATCAGTGAAGTACTGAATGAAGCAAGTGGGGATGATCTAGCCTACGAAGCTGTGCATCACATTCAATCCTTAAAACAACACACTGATGCAGTTGGTGCTGGGATGGCTTCTGGATTTTTTGATAGCACAGAGATGAGTCATTGCTAGCACTGACAGCCATAGTCAGTCACTGCCTAGCATTGCCACACAAAGCAGTTAAAGGAAGCTTTTTCCCCAGACGGCAGCATTGACAAAGTGCTCTGATGGCATGATGCCCCTGGTCAGCTCACAGCACCAACCATCCCATACTGCTGCCCTCAGTTTCATACCTGTAAGTGAATCGCTGAGGTAAATTTTGTATCGGAGGGAGTTGCACAACTGTACACCAACAAACTTCTTGTACCAAGTCCTCTTGACGAACTGTTTCCCCTTGCATTCAGAATAGGAATCAGAATTGAATTTGATTTGAGTCCAGATGGCATCTTTTCCCACTGTAAGGGAACAACAAATAATCTATGTGCAAAAATATGTGCGTAGACATTGGAATGAAGTGAAAGAAAAAGACATATAGGAACATTTTTTTAATTTTTACCCTGTCTTCCACTATAAAATGGCCTCAAGGCAGCTCACAATAATAAAACAAAACAAAACAGTATAATAAAAAAGAGTTGGAAGATAAACCAGCAGAACTAGCAGATAAAAAGGAAAGTAGGTTTAAATAGGAAATAAAAGGTTATGAAAAGGTCTCGTATTTACACCAATTTCTGATCAGAACTTAGGCACAAAAGCATAGTAACCAGTTAGACTGGAATAACAGCTCTAATTTGCTCAGTGGAATTGATGGGACACCGATTTGTACATTTCTTTGAAGTTTAGGTTTCAACCAATAAAAAGGTTTAATACGTTGTAGCAAGAGAAATATGGGATGTGTGAAAGGGTCTTTTTGGATGCAGCACTGAGATTGCAGAACTTGGTACCTAAGGAAGCCAGGCAGGTCCCTTCTTTATACCAATGTCTGGTAACTTCCCTACTGCATTTAAATTACGGTTTGTTCTGAGCTTTTCTAGTTTGTGTTTCTGCTGTTGCTATAGCCGGCACTATTCACTTTATTGCTTTGATTATATTATTGTTTCAATTGATGATCTAAGCTGCATTGGAGGCCCCTTTGGGGGCTGAAAAGTGGGGTAAAAATGGATTTTGTAACTAAAATAAATGCTGAGAAACACATTCTGTTGGGGGGGACGAACCACAGAAAGGAAGACTACCTTTTACGCCATATTAAACATGCGTCTCCTAAATGAATTAAGAAACTTACCCTCCCTCAACTGTATCAGATCCTTTCCTCCTAGTTAAAGACCTTATACGGAGCTTACAGTCCCCCACTATAAAGCTGATGGCAGCCAACATTTTTCAGAGAGCTGCAGAAGCTGATGGCAGATTTTCTATAGCAGTGGCTGGACACTGCTGCATGCTCTGTTAAATCACTTATTAAGTGAGAAACAGCCTATTCATTTCAGAGAGCTGTCTTTTAATTTAATGACAGGCCCGAGAAAATATGAGCTGTGCCTGGCTCATTTCTGCCCCTTGGTTCTGAGCCAGTGGAGCGCCACCTCCAATTGATTGGGCAGGCCTCAGGTAAACATTTAGACTGGCAGGAACTCTTTGCAAACAGCGTAGGTCAAAAAAACACCCCCCCCAAAACCCCTGTGAAATCATATGCAAAATGCCTTTCTCTTCCAAATCCACTCTGTCATACAGCAGTACATTATCTCACCTCAGAAAAATGCTCTCACCAGAGTATACTATAATGTATAAAGGACTTACTTGAAATTGGCTCCGTCACTCTTGGGTCCGCTAAGGAGAAAAAACAAGTGCTGGGTCAGACTGCAAAATAACTTCTAGCATTTCAGAAGTATGCTGGGGAAAAAGGTTTACTTCTTCAGTTGACATGAATTGTAATCTGTACAACTGCAACGTGGTTTGAAATCAAGACAGAACACTTGTGAGCTTACGTTAAACTAATAAGCTGCTCATGACTACTTTGAAATACCAAAGACTGTGCTTTGAAGTACCTAAGACTGTGCTTTAAAAAGTGCTGTCTAGCTAATGCTTTGATTTATTTTAGGACCTTTTAAATGTGTCAGGGGGTTATATTTTTTGTTACTTTCTTATGTATTTTGTGTCTTTACAGTGTAAATAACAACAAGGCCTTAAATGAGGTTATAGCAATTTTGGGAGTAATTAATTAATGGCATTTAAAACCAGGCAGGGAGTTGTATTTAAAAATAAAATAAAAATTAACAACATTTCCAGGTACCAGATTAAAATGTCATTCTTGAGGAAGTTTGCATAAATGCATAATTCCCATATAGCTTTCACTTTATCTGCTGATTTTTCCTATAGCAGGTAGATGTTAAAGCGCGTAAAGAGCTAGAGAGGCTTGTAGCTAATTGGTACACTTATTGAAACTCTTACCTGATTCAGTTTTAAATGGCTTTGATTCGCTGCTCGGTCCTTCACCAAGGGGGTTGCTAGGTATCACAACAAATTCATAACTAGGAAGAAAAAGGGAGGGGGATACACCCAGTTCTTTATTGCAAACATCAATCATTGCATGGTAAAGTAATTGCATTGGTTTATCTAAAAGGACTGTTGTAAGTATTCCTGAGAATACATGAAATGTTTTGACCACTTAAGAAATGTGCTAAGTAAATACTATTATTTTGCTACATAGCTATAATTTCTACATTGAAAATTGCACGAATGCTGCACATATATAATCACATGGACCAAATGCATACATGCATATTTTGCCACATATACATGCTACTGGGACCCACAATCACTAAGGCAATCTAGAATCATAGGATTGTAGAGTTGGAAGGGACCCCAAGAGTCATCTAGTCCAACCCCCTGCAATGCAATCCTGCTGTATATGCATACACAAACAACACAAAACACACACATGCATTTGTTACTTGTGATTATTTGGAAACAGGATGAAAGCACATTTCTGTAACCTAGTGACTTGTGTGTTAGAAACTCATTTTGTATGAAGCCTCTCTGAATGTGTAAGTTTTCATGAAAACATTTAAGACATATGGGTTAGTGAATATGCTCCTCTCTCTCCTCTTGAGGGGAATTCCTTGCACAATGAACTCACCCTCAAAGCTTGTTCAAGTGGTTCTTTGACAGGCCTCAGGGCCACTTCAGGTGTTATAGTAGTTATCATGCACCTACTTCTATTTTGTAATGTAATTACAGATTTTTTTCACCACTAGAAAGCTGTGGAAACACAGGCATCAGGGACAATGACTGTGTAAAAGGTGGAAGTGTCCAGGTCCCAAATCAACATGTCAAAGATGCATAAAACAGCCACAATACAGTGCACTGTGTCCTCTACATGTTTACTATCTAGTGTTTTAAAGCCAAGAAACAGCTTTTGGCTTCATTTCTTTTGTGTGGTCTATGCAGCTCCTTGGGGACGTGGGTGGCACTGTGGGTTAAACCACAGAGCCTAGGGCTTGCTGATCAGAAGGTCGGCGGTTCGAATCCCCACGATGGGATGAGCTCCCGTTGCTCGGTCCCTGCTCCTGCCAACCTAGCAGTTCGAAAGCACATCAAAGTTCAAGTAGATAAATAGGTACCACTCCGGAGGGAAGGTAAACGGTATTTTCGTGCGCTGCTCTGGTTCGCCAGAAGCAGCTTAGTCATGCTCGCCACATGACCTGGAAGCTGTACGCTGGCTCCCTCGGCCAGTAAAGTGAGATGAGCGCTGCAACCCCAGAGTCGTCCGCAACTGGACCCAACGGTCAGGAATCCTTTATGCAGTTCCTAAGACAAGCACTGTAGTTGTACATTGTCTGAAGTCCTAAGACAGATATGCAATCAGCACTCAAGTGCAAGCTAGATGACAAGGCCACGGAACCCCTGAACAGTGTATGCCAAATAGTTATTTGTCTTCAACTGTTGGAACAGGTTATGGACCAAAGAAGTCCACCACATCACATATAAGAAAAATGTTCTTGCACAGATTAAGTGAACATTATTTGTATTGCAGTAAAGACTTTTTCCATAGGAAATTGCTTTCCCATATGGAATCTTGGCAAGCAGAAGGAATGGCACTATTTTCCAGATCTTGCAACAGTGCAGAAATGTATGTGCATAGAAAGGAAAGGGGAATTAAAAACCCTCTCAATATGCAGTTTTCAGTTGAGCTGCTGGCTTAAAATCTCAAGCAGAAAAGGTACATCTATCATGAAATCTCTATTAAGATTTATTGGCATATTCAGAAAGTTACTAGAAAATCTTTCTAACCACTTTGCTGAGCATGTACACTATTTTACCTACTAGTATTTAGATCTAGAGGAAGTTTGAACTTTATCCCTTCTTTCCATTGTTTCTGCTCACAGTACTGCTGTCAAGGCTGCCTCAAGTCTCAGCTCACAAAAGACCAACGCCTATGTCTTCTTATATACAAAGGTGTTTATTGCAGTTCATTGTTTGCTTGACATCCTAGGCGCGCAGCCTTACGTCTCTTACGCTTAGACCGCTGAAGTCCCCTCTGAATCCGTCCCTCCCCTGCACCAATTTAAGAGGCTAGCGCTGCTCCACCTCTTTCTCTCCTTCCTTTTCCGCAGGGTCCTTCTGCCCGCTGGGGTTTCGCCCCTCCTGGATTCCTCTGACGCGGAATCAGACTGCTCTTCCCCCCTCCTGCGGGCTTTGGGACCTGGCCCCCTCCTCCGGGCTCCCTGTACTTCCGCGCGCCTCTACATTTGAAACCAGGCGCGCGCGCCAAACCTCTAACTTTCCTTTTGACAGTTACACTACTCCCTTCACTGCCCCCTCCCCTTCCGGAAGGGCGGCTTGCTCTGACCTCCCTCCTTTCTCTGCTGCCGGAGCTGCTTCCTCTGACACACTGGAAACTCCACCCCCTTCGCTGCACTCTGGTGGGGAGGCTGGTCCTGACGCCCAGCTGCCACTCTGGGATCCTCCGCTGGCCCCCTGCTCCTGACACGTCCCCCCTGGGGCTCCCCTGGCCTTAACCACCGGCGCCCCTTCTGGGAATCCTCTGATTCGCTGGAAAGACTCATGGAATCTCTTGAGTCATTGTCATCCTCTTCCTCGCTGGCTTGGAATTCATCCCCATCGCTCTCCATCTCCTGCCTACCCTGTGCCTCTCTCCCTGAACCCCTGACAACTGTGTTTTGAAAAAATATGTAGAATCATAGAATTATAGAGTTGGAATAGGCACTGATGATCATTTAGTCCAACCCTCTGAAATGCAGGAATCTTGCCCATGGCTGTCCCTGGGTGGGCTTGAACCACCAACCTTCAGGTTAACAGCCAGACACCCTGACCCATTGTGCCACTAGGGACAAAATGCTGCTGCAAAGTTTCTTGACATTTAATGAAGTGTTGAGTGCATTTGAGTGCCCTTAAAACAAAAAAAAGATTCAAGGAAACAAGAAAAGTATGTGTGGCCTGTGTAAGTAAGATAACATTTTCCTAAAACCCATGGGTGTTGGCTGGACTTAAGAAAACAAGCACAGATTGTTGCAAACCTGGGGAAATGACAAGATAGTGTTATTATTGTTCGTGCTCAGATTATATAGACAAATTGTGAATTGTTAAAGCATAAAACGTTTAATCTATGGCCCAAAGCAAGAAACCTGTTTTCCGGTTCAGTGTCAAAGCTGTTCAGCTGAGTAGGCATTCAGCGAAACCAATTCCATTGATGTTCCCTTAATCTCTAGGCACACAGAACTGGCCATTTACCAGACAAGGGTAGCAGAGATGGATAATTTAATTGGATTGGAAGAGGGCAGGTGTCCTCTTGTATTAAACAACCTTGAAATATTTTTCATATCTCAAGAAGGCACACATTAATTTCTTTAGAGACCCAATTCTAGCTAAGGTATGAAATGGAGATGGCATATAGAGAGATTCAAAACTATATACATCAACATATGGGCAACCTGAGACTTTACATTCAAAAACATAAGGAAAGTGATAATTGAAAGCTACATACTCCGGAGAACTTTGCAGGAACAAGAACAAAAGTTAAGCATGAGCCCCATAATCTGAGTAAACTCAAATGTGGAAAGGGCAAGAAATTGTGGATTTCAGAATATGAAAAGGCATCTTTCTGAAGAATACATTGTGTCAGGAAGACAACCATGGAATAACAACCAGCAGTGGCTAGTATGATGGGACAGAGGGCAATAAATGGGATCATGAAGACCTCTTGAACACATTGGTGGTGGAGTCTGGGTCAGCACTATGAAAGCATATAGTTGCTAACTGGAAAGGCATCCCCAGTGTAGACATCACCTCTGACATCATCAGATCACACTGGGTGCTGCTGACTAGATACTAGCAGCTGTTTGCATGATGTTGATCCAGCCCTCTTGCCTCTACAGCTGCTTTGGGATGCTAGTAGGTAAAAGCATGGACCCCTCCTTTACCTGGACTGTTTGCTCAGTGATGCTTGTGGCTGATTCAGTGCCACCTGCCACACCTCTCAGTACATAATCACCTCACACAGGAAAGTGTATGTTTGACAATTCTACTAAAAATAATGGGACGCCATAGGCAGTATGGATAAATCTCAGCCAATGGCTCCAGCTGGATAGCTGCTAAGCCCGTGAATCCACGGTAACATAATATGTCAACAAGGACTTTTTTCTATTTCATCCGGAGGAGAGTCTGCATGCTAGTTAAGCCAACATTATCCAAGCTGGATTTAACAGCATAGGTTCCATTCCAACACAGACCCAAACATGCTAAAGTCTGTGTTGGATTGTAGCCAAAGTATACAACTAGTCACGGCTTGCTATGGGTGCATAGTATTCAATGGTGGTCCAACTATTATTGTAAGTTGATCAACCATAACTTATTCTATGCGGAGTTTTTATTTATTGTGAGTGATTTGCTTTAAACTCCTCACATGAAAGCAACTGTTGAAAGATCAAGACATTTGAGTAGGAAGATTCATAATAGACAAATGTTGTTTTGCTCGACGATTCAGCCAAATGTTATCCGCTCCAACAACATTTAATAATTTGAAGAATGCTGAGTGAACCAAATTATGGGGTAAGATGCTTTGTATTTTCCTAGCTGCTTGCATTTTGTCAAGTCTAAAGATGTTATTTTTCCCCACTCTGAAATGCTGCACACATTATTTTTGATAGCTCGCCAGGTTCAAAAGCCAAAACACTCCTCACCTATGGAAAACAAAATCAAAACAACCAATGAAAAGGACCGATTATCAGACATGAGTTACTATGAGAGAATGGAACACCTGCATCGGGTCTGCAAAAAGCACATGGAATTTTCCAGCAATCCAGCTGTCCAACAAAATCAAAAGGCAAGAAAGTGTCAGCAAGTTTAAAAACTGTAACTGTGTTAAACAGGTAATGGTCAGTATGAATATCCCTTAAAGCAACACTGTGGGGCAGAAGAATGAGTTCATGATGTCATGTCTCTGCCCTTCTAGTTCCTACAAAGTTATGTTTTTAGCAGGGCGATCCTGTGTTCGCTTACTTGGAAGGAAACCTCATTGTAGTAATTTTGTTCAGTGTGCATAGGACTGCAATAAAGAGATAGGCAGGAAGCTTACAAGGAACCACTAGCCCCGTCACAACAGCCATCCAAGTTATTCCATTTAGTCTTTCTAGTGGATTTAGCCTTCATTTGCAGCGTTCACGATTCCGGCTGTAGCACAAATTCTCAGATATGTTTAGGACAATAATTTCTTGCCCATAATGAACAAACAAGGCCTGGGACGCTGTTCCTGATATCTTCCTGACACGAGAAGATGCATCTATGTAGATAACCTTCAGTTGCAGCTAGAGATGCCCTTAGATGAGGGGGCAAGTAGGGATAAGCAAATCTGTGAATTTCAGTTTCCTTCAGATTCTCATTTTCCCAGTCTTGTTTCATATTTCCACATCGGTTTGCAAATCTTCTTTTTCAAAAGGTGTTGTGAAAATTCAGCAGCATTTTAGTGCAAATTTATTTCAATATACATAGTTTTATGTGCAATTTTGCTTAAGCAATTTCCCTATATTATAATGCCTTTTTAATGCTGTTTTCATTTATGTATACTATTTTGTGCACACTTTATTCAAATATATGCATTTTGTACACATTCCTTGGCAAAATTTTGAGCATTGCAAATTTTGAAGGATGGCTGTGTTTCAGTTTGTGTATTGTTTCAGAAAGTGTGAATGAGTTAGGTTTGCTTTTAAGCACGAACTGAATCAAATTTCTCCCCATCCTTAGGTGTGACTATAGTAGCACCTCTCTAATGCATAAATCATATATACAAACATGCACACTTGTCAGCTTGCTTGCACAACTGGCTGTTTGCATCTTACAAAACATAATGTTGAAATGCTAGACATCAACTATAAAACACATTCTCTCTCCCCTCCCCTCACTCTCAGAGGGGAATTCAGGAAGGGGAGTTACTGCAGAAGTCAAGAGTGGGACTTGGGAAGAGCACACCTTAAAAGAAGCAACTCCTGGGTGCTTAGAACCCCTTCATATATCACATGGTAGTATTTTCTAATTGTATTACCTCGTGTTAGGTTTCAGGTTTTCTACAGTAGAATGAGTTTGATTTGTCGTTATAACAGTCTTATCCTTTCCTGCAGGGCTTCCATTTTCAGTCGATACAACTTTATATTCTGAAATGATGAAGAAGATTTGTGTTCTGTTATCCTGTCAGTTTCATTTGTTTCCTTTAATCTCCTGGAGTGAATCAGAAACAGTAATAGAACAAAGCAAACAACATTCTGAATGTCAAAGTGCCAGCCCAGGACAGGGAGATCAAATGAGAGCTTGTGTAGGAAACTCAGTGACTTGACCTTTGGGAGAAAGAGAGATGTGCGTTATCTGGTGTGACACGTTCCCTCAAGGAAGAACTACAAATCCCAGAGTTCCTGCTGACACTTCCTATGCACAAGGAGGAGAACCTAAGCAGGGTTGGAATTCAAGTGGTGTCAGAACCATAATCTGAGACTAAGATTTTTAGGGACAGTGCGGCAGATCTCCAGACTCCACCCCCCTTAACTCCTTTGTATGTTAATGGTGTCTTGATTAGTCTTTGTTGTTTCTGTTTATTTGAAAACTGAATACAAATTATCCCCAAAACCGAACAATCCTGACATTGTATGCAAGGGATGGAAAGCACAATCTAAAGGGCATTAGTTAGTGTACCAGGCAGATGAGCAGGATAATAATAAAGGGAGTGGATGGCGCTGTGGTCTAACCACTGAGCCTCTTGGGCTCACCGATTGAAAGGCGGGGTGAGCAATAATAAAAATAGTAGTAGTAGTAGTAGTAATAATAATAATAATAATAATAATAATAATAATAATAATATACATGTCATTCAGGAGCCTAAATAACACATCTAGTTTTTAGAACCAGGCAAGAATAGCTGTGGGGGAAAGTGCAGGCTAGTAAAGAAAGACTAGCAATATTGTTCAGGCTCTAAACTTTAAGAGAACCAAAGTCTAACCTGTAACAGTTTCATTTGGTGGTTTTTCCCAATCCAGTACGACAAAGGTTGGGCAGCCTTCGACAGTTACCACAGTGAGGTTGGTAGGAGGCTTTCGTGGAGGGCTAGTAGGTACCTCTGTGCTGTCCCCCTCTTCCGTTGGAAAGTATTGGAGCGTGTCTGTGATGGAGCATGGCACATCTTCTGGTTTCTTTATATACAACACACCTTCACCTAGAAAAATAGCATCTGTGTTAAGGTGCTTTAAAAAAAATATCCAAGTAGCAAATGTGGTGGTAAAATTGCCAGAACTGGACTTTTTCAGGTGGTAGGGCCCACAGCTGAATGCTTCTCCATAAAAAAAGCTGAAAGTAAGTTAGCATGTCAGATATCTCTCCTGATATCGATTTTTAAGGTTCTTGGTTTGTTTTTTTTTAATATAGTTATGTAAGTGATGATCAGCTGCATGAAAGTGTTTTGGAGAGGACTGTTATTCTGATGACTATTTTATTATTAGGCTTTTCATTATGTTTTATCATTAATAATGTAATGTGTTTTATGGTGCTGGAGGAGACTCTTGAGAGTTCCATGGACTGCAAGAAGATCAAACGTATCCATTCTTAAGGAAACCAGCCCTGAGTGCTCACTGGAAGGACAGACCCTGAAGCTGAGGCTCCAATACTTTGGCCACCTCATGAGAAGAGAAGACTCCCTGGAAAAGACCCTGATGTTGGGAAAGATGGAGGGCCCAAGGAGAAGGGGACGACAGAGGACGAGATGGTTGGACAGTGTTCTCAAAGCTACCAGCATGAGTTTGACCAAACTGTGGGAGGCAGTGGAAGACAGGAGTGCCTGGCGTGCTCTTGTCCAT